TATGTCATTCATATTTCAGTAAAACTTGGAAATATTATTTTACTGTGTGCTGTCATAAAACAACATGTCACAATTCCTGATACTGTGTCTTACTGAATCCTATGAAGTGACACTCAATTTACTTTTTCCCATTACACAATAGTCACTTTGATCACATGATCATAGTGGGGGCTGCTGAGCTTTACTGGAAAAGTTACTTTTTCCCTCTTAAAAATTAAAAGGATTTCATGGGAGACTATATTAAAATTGTATATATATATATATATCTTTTTCTTCATTAAACTTAATTTTCATGTTATTGTATGTAGATACACAGTATTCTTTTATTTAATGGTAATAATCTCTTATAAAATGTTTTGATGTTCAGATTGTCCTTAATTTTGTGGTTGGAGTTCTTTCAACTTTATCCTTTTGACACGCCACCATCATTCCTTGAGCACCTCCTTGCTATTGTTCAAGGCTCATCTTGTCCTTTTCCTGGCTTCAACTCTAGAATCAGCCATTTCTCAAAGAGCCCAGTTTGAGTGGAGAATGGTATTCAGAAACCAAGAGCTAGGACTTGGTAGGTAGAATGATGACCTGAGCTATGACACTTTCTCTTTGTTCTTTTCAGGGTGAAAATGACAGGAAAAGGGAGCCCCTGTTCCGAATGATCCATGACCCCACATCTCTCTAAGTCACATCACGCTAAGGGACAGAATCTCTGAACTGGTAAGGTCTCTGCTCAAAGGCAGACATGGGAAATGGGGGACAAGGTCACAATACCTTTATAGGATTTCTCTTTGTTCCACGTACTTTGGTCCTTTAAATGTCTGTGATTAAACAGTGCAAAATTGGTTGAGCCTTATTGATGAAGTAAGAAAAATGAACTAGACTGTGGGAATATCATGGAATTTAGGCCACAGAAACCATTCTACTAAGGCCTAACAACGTCTGTAATAATTGTTTTGTGAATAATCATAAATAGGTATTTTCATAATTTTTCTAATATATGGCGAATTCATTCACCTAAAAGAATATGATCTGTACTGATTGCAAATTAGTTTTCTTTTTAAAATTATTCTCTCGGTTCCATCTGATTTTTCCTTCTGGAATTCCTATTATGCATAAATTGAAATTGATCTCTCTATTCCTCAGAAATCACCTTTTTTCCTCTAAACTTTGACTTCCTGAAGAGTTTCTAAAAATCTGTCTTTTACTTTATTGTGTTATCTTTCTTCTATACTTTAACATGTGGTCATCATTTTTCAACCTTATTAAAATTTTGCCATATCAGAATATTCCCCTTTTCTCTATTGCTTGTTCCAAAAAACATATGCAACATCTCCTCAAATCTCATTGAGATTACAAATTATGATACTTTTTGTAATTCCTGATATTTTTCTCATTTACATTTCTAATATTTGATCATTTTTCTCTTTGTAAATAATGAGGAGTTTGTCTAATATTTGAACTTAAATGTGTTCTGCAGATAGTGTGGAGGTTTCTGCTTATGTCTTCTGTGCACAGTTGAAAACAGAAGGAACTGTTCAGATTAATTGCTGGGTTGTTTTGTTTGTTTGTTTGTTTGTTTTTTTGCTTTGCTTAGCCAGAGATCCTAGGTCCCATGCAAAGAAGAGGGAAGCGGGGGAGGGGAGGAATGACAGCTGTCATGAGATAATACCAGTCCTTTAGCCTCATTTTGTGTTGGCTGTGGTGCCTGACCGCTGGCCTGGAAAGCCCTCCCCTTCTCTAACTGGTATAACTAATGCCACTGGGATCCAGCTGTGCAAGTACCTCGTTTACCTGGCATGCTGTCTGTACCAACTGTAAACTGAATGTGAGTACCTGTGTTACATACACCTCATCATTGGAACCTGGCATCTGCTGAATTGATTAGGCTAATGAAAGGTGACCTGGACATCACTTTTCTTGCAGCTTCCCTGCCCTCCCGGTGTTCTCAACATCAGGACCAGTGGTGCTGGAGTTCTGCTGAGATGACAGGGAATCTCTCCCCTAAACTCTTATTTCTTAAACACATTTTTCCTTTGCATGAAGTAAATTGAAGTTTAGACATCTCCTCTCACTGGATTCAATTTTGTCTACAAAACAGAGTATAAAAATTTCTTTATCTTTCTGATAGATAGAAATTCTAGTTTTCCAGTGCTGGAATTGATTTTACTAATGGTATCATATGCTTTTGCTCCTTTTAAGGAGATTTGAAAGGAAATGAGAGGTCAATGTGCAGGGTTCAGAGTACCACCTGACTTGATTGTTCATGGTTTGTTTAAAAATATCAAATATGCAAAGAAATATATCAACTATTTAAAATTTTTAGTGGTTTGATTATTGGTACATTTAATACTAGCCCATATTGAAGGTTATTTTCTGCAAAGGTATACGTGTGCTCTATTAACACATAGAGTAATATCGAGGTTACAGTGTTCTATAAATGCTAGAATGTGGGTGCTAACTATTCCATATATAAATAGTTACTTCAAAAATGATAACGATATCCTAGTTATAGAATGAGTTCTTACAATGTGTCCTTCTTTGGGACAGAATTATATTTTTCTTTGTTCACTGAAAACTATCAAAATGGTAATTTATTGTCTTGTCATTATGAAGATTTTATTTATGTTAGCAGATTAGTTTATCTAAAAGTTAAATATAATGTGAATTCCTGACTGTAAAACAAACGCATTTTACTTTTCCTTAAATTCCATATTGGGAATTATTTGAACATAATTGTAAAGGAAACTGAAATTATGTGAATCCTTGAATATACAGGATTTACAAAATAACATGAGTTGTTACATATAAAATAACTAGATTTAATAAAGTATAATTTTATAATATAATTCCTTTAATAAGTTTTTCATTAATTTTTGCTTTAAAAATGGAAAATAAACCAGAGTATAATTCAAAACAGTTTTTCATAAGAAATTTCATGTCTAAGCGTAAAAAGTCCTATGTCATTTTTCCCAAATACAGAGTGAACATTCAAAGAAAATGTATAAAAACATTTATAAGCCAGGGAACAGAAAATAAACTGTATAGTTTCAAAGTGAAGTCACCTTCTGGGACTACAGGCATCACAGAGTATTCCACATGTGGTATTTGACTCCAAGAGAAAAAAACAGTGAGTCTTCCATTTATATAGTCCCAATCAGTATAGACGTTAAATTTTCTGATGCTTTCATCAGTCCGCTACCATATTCCTAATGTCAAAAGCTGAAAGCATCCATTGTTTTCATAAAACATGAAATCCTATACAAAAACAAAAACACAGAAATGAATTTTCAGCAATAAAACAGAGACAATTCTCTGATGCAGAAATGCTAAGGAATCTGATGAAACACAGTAATACATCTGTTAAACAAGAAAAATTAAGTGTGAAAAATAACATCTGGGGCAAGTCTATAGCTACATAAGTTCTACCTTCAGCTTTCCATTTTAATAGCAATTAAATCCTGTGAGTCTATTCATTTGTTGATATCTGCATTAGTTTAATTAATCTTTGGTAATTTCTATTTCACTATAACCTGCCTTGGAATCTTTCTTGTTCGTTCTTTCTTCCTCTACTTTTTGTAGTCCTTCTCTAGGAATGTAACTTGTGACTGGGGTTCCATATATCATTTTTAGATTTTTTTTCATAAGAATGACAGCCATGTTGAGTCAGAAGGCACCTTGGACATTTTGTGTCAGTTTGATGATTGGTCTTCCAAGTTTGCTCCCTATATTTCCCAGCTTGTTTCATTGCATCAGCATTGATCCAGACTCCCTCCCCTATGACTTTAGCTGAATCCTATGAAATTCATTTCTCTCACACCTGTTATTTTTCCTTATCCCTTCAAGAGAAATAATTTAATCCTTATTGCTAATAACTTGCAGATGTACTATTACAATTTTACCTCTCAAATTCATTTTTCGCATAAACATGAGGATTTATCTTTCTAAAATCTGGATTTATAACTTGTTAACTTATATCTGTTTTGAAACCAACCAATTAACAAAAAATTTTATTTTTTTACTGAAGTATAGTCAATTTTCATGTGTCAATTTTCGGTGTACAGCATAATGTTTTATTCATATACAGACATACATATATTCTGTTTTGTATTCTTTTTCTTTATAGGTTACTACAAGATATTGAATATAGTTGCCTGTGCTATACAGTATAAACTTGTTTATCTTTTTGATGTATAGTTACTAACTGCAAATCTCAAGCTCCCATTTTATCCCTTCCCACCCCTTTTCCCCCACTGGTAACCATGAGTTGGTTTTCTGTGAGTCTGTTTGTGAGCTGGTCTTGAGATGATTTACAGCTGTGGGACCCAAGGCCACGATCAGAGCATGTTTATAGTATGCAGTAAATAATTGCTCCATGCATGTGTCAGTTATATAAGATTTAGAACAAAGAAAATAGAAGTACGCATGTGCTAGAAATATTCTGTAAGCCTAATGAACAAAGAAACTCAGACCGTGCATGTGCTGACAGAAAACAGATAAAAGCAGGACAGGTGCATCATAGGCACCTCCCTGTGGCAATAAAGTGTTGTTAACCCCATGGTGTCTCCGGCTGAAGTCTGTCCAGCAGTATGGCAACTCCTCGTGCATTTTTTCGTTTGGGCCGCTTACCTCCTAGAACCCCACATCAGCCTCCCTCAGCTGACACTGTTTCTGTTTTGTAAATAAATTCATCTTTTTTTTTTTTTTAAGATTCCACATATATGTGATATCATATGATATTTTTCTTTCTCTTTCTGGCTTACTTCACATAGAATGTTCTCCAGGTTCATCCATGTTGCTACAAATGGTATTATTTTATTCTTTTTTATGGCTGAGTAGTATTCCATTGTATAAATATACCACAATTTCTTTATCCAGTCATCCGTTGATGGGCATTTAGGTTGCTTCCATGTTTTGGCTATTGTAAATAGTGCTGCTATGAACATTGGGGTGCATGTATCTTTCTGAATTAGTTTCCTCCAGGTATATGCCCAGGACTGGGATTGCTGGAATATATGGTAAGTCTGTTTTCAGTCTTTTGAGAAATCTGCATACTGTTTTCCATAATGGCTGCACCAAACTACATCCCCACAGCAATGTTGGAGGGTTCCCTTTTCTCTACACCCTCTCTAGCATTTATTGTTTGTGGACTTCTTAATGATGGCCGTTCTGACTGATAAGAGTTGATACCTCATTGTAGTTTTGATTTGCATTTCTCTGGTAATTAGTAATATTGAGCATTTTTCATGTGCCTATTGGCCATTTGTATTTGCCTCAAAAAGTTAAAAGATATTTTGCTTTTATATAACCATTCTTATATTCATAGCTTAAAAAAAAAACCTTAAATCTTAGTCACTAATATCATCAAATAGTCCAATTGTCAAATTCCTTAAATGTCTTGTAAATGTGTTTTTACATTGATTTGTTCAAATCAATATCCAAACATGATCCGTAAACTAGGTAAGGTTGGTCTCTTTTTTTCATTTTGTTTTTATCTTTTTATCTTCCTTGACATTTATTTATTGACAGAACCAGGTCCTTTATTGCTATATATCCTCTCACTTTTTAGTTTTCTCACATTGCATCTCCAAATGAATGTTTAAGATAGTTATCTAATGATTCCAAACCTTGTTTGCATATTGGAATCACCTGGGAGCCCTAAACAGCTTAAAGACCCTGTCTCACTTCCAGAGATTTTGGTTACTAGATCTGAGTGGAATCTTGACATATAAGCTTTGAAAAACTACCCAGGTATTTCTCCCCAGGTGTTTCTACTGTGCAGCTAAGGTTGAAGATCATTGCTCTGTCCCTGATGACTTTGACTTTGGCCGCATATGGAATCATATGGGGAACTATACAAACTTCTGATTCTGAGCTTCTGATTTAATTGAACTGGGGTGTGACTTGGTACTTGGGCTTTTGAAATCTCCCTAAGTGATTTAATGTGAAGACAAGGGCCCTGCTCTGTCCCATGAATTTCCTCTCAATTGGCAGTTTGATCTAATGGCTTGATTGGATGTATACACTTATTTCAGATTCTACTCTTGTATTCAAGGATTTAATTTAATAGTGAATCAAAAGGTAATCTTGTTTCACTGAGTTTTATTCCATGTAAGCCCATACTTAAAGTATTCCCCAGTGCACCAATGTTGATTTTTTAATACAAGCCTCAAGGACCAGGACTTGTCCTTAACACATAAGGTCCTTCTATTGACATGTGAAACTAAGTAGAATTTCCAGAGAGAATTACTCACCTGTGAATCGAGAGTATCAGGAGAAAACAGAATTTCAGAGCCAGGATTAAATGAACCCTTTTGAACAAAACCTATAAATTGAAGAAGGTCATTCTAAAACATACAGTTTACTGAATAATTTAAGAATGATGCTTGAGAAACCATCTATACAGTGTTAGTGAGAACAGACTTACAAGCAGGAAACACGTGCCAATGATCACAGCTTTTATTTTCACATCAACATCTGAAGGGAATTGGATGCCATAGTTACTATAATGTGTAAACATTTCTCTCATAATCCTAGTAAACTGCTTGGAAATCTTGCCAACAACATTTTTTCCATCAAGAGATTTAATCTAAAATGTAAAAAATAAAAGACAACAAAACTCTAGTCTTACACAATTCTAGGTAATTTTAATCTACTTTCAAAGTTTGATTAAAATGAAACAAATTTACTCTTAAAAGTATATTCAAGATAGAACTATGAACATTATATAATTCATTAGATCATAGAGATACATCCATCTATTTATAGATACATAAAAAAACTGTTTCTTTGCCTTAGAGGACTTGTATAAAAGTAGTTTTGTGAAATATTTAACATTTTTTTATTCTACACTAAAATAGACTTAATAAATGAGTTGAATTGATCCAAAATAAAAGTTAAGTAGAGAAAGATACAAGCATGAAATATTTCTTTGATGAAATTTCTAGAAGCCATCAGGGAGTAGGAAAAGAAACTTGCATCTAAGTTCTGTTCTAAGACAAGCACAGAGAGTTTACATAGGCTGAGTGTTTAGAGGTGATGGGAGGCCCCATTGTCACCCGCTGTCAGAAGGAAAATGTGAAATGTCAGGAGCCTGGAAAAGAGGACTGGCAGTTCTGAGTGAAGGAAAGTAACCGGTAAGTGGGATGCCCCAGGTCCAAGGTTGGGGTCAGACTGGACAACAGGAGGGGGTGGGTGACAACAAACGAGGAAGTGTGTATGAAAGAAAAAGGCTCCAAAGTAAATTTCTTCTAATTTTACAGTTCTGCCTGTGGAAAGCCAAGGGCCATGATAAAGAGCTGGACAGCTTATAGCCAGACAGATGCACCTCACCAAATGGGCACATATGGGCTGAAAGTAGCCCCCATTCACCAAAGTATGTACAGGCAGGGTTGTGTGAACCCAGGAAGAGGAGCGTCCTTTTCAAATGTGCACAAGGTACCACATGTACTAGGAACAACTTTATGTTGGCAGTAACATAAATATGGGGAAACTAAAAACAGCTGACTCATTTTATTTGGGTGTGGGTAGTTAAGTTCTTTAAAAACCTGAATGAAACTTCTAATATGAACACTGTGATAGCATGGATTACTCTTCATCAAATATTCATTTCAATCCCCTTCCACTGTAAGCCCAGTATCCTTCCCTGCACATTGAAATTAGGCTTGGCCATGTGCCTTGTTTGACTGACAGAGTGTTAGTGGATGTGACATGAGCAGAGACCTTAAACAGGGCTGAGTGGTTTGGCCTTGAGTCTTGCTCTCCAGGGATCAGCCACCAGAGAAGCACGATCTAGGCCGCTGCTGTTGCTACAGCTCCAGAATGAACATACCGGGAGCAGACCTGAAGCCAAACAGCAGCCTCAATCAGAGCTGTCTGGCTGGGCCTCGGTATATCCCCCAGACACAGTTAACCTGCAGACCCATAAGCATGAGAATCAATTCCTGCTTTATAAGCCACTGACCTTTAGGGGTTATTTGTTATGCAACACTATTGTGGCAAAACACACATAAATCTTTCGTACACTTTAGTAAATCACCTTCTAATAGCTGCCATTTTTAGCTAGTAAAGAAATCTTATTTTTTAAATTTATTTTTAATTTAAAAATATTTTTTTAAATAAAAAACACAGAAGATAATTTACCAGCCACCATAATCCCACCACTGAATTTAAGATACTAAAATTTCCCCTTTATGATTTTTATAGTGAGACATTTTAAACTCCACCAAAATCATTCCAAAGTTAAAACAAAAAAATTTTTGTGGAAACCTTTAAATATGAATAATGTCTCACAATTTAAAAGTTATCAGGACTAGGTAATTTTTACCTAAATTCCAAATGACCTTTTAAAAAAGAGAAAAATACCTATAATAAGGTTATTTCAACTCTGAAATAATTAATGTTTGTGACACAAGAAATACATATTTAGTTTTTGTGCCTGACTCCTGACGTAGAGCTCTAAAATTCTTGTAACTTGCTGACTGATAGGAATTATAGTTTTCTTTTGTTTTGTTTATGTAATATGTGGTCTTTGTTCCAGGTTTCTAGCACACAGATTCTAAAACCTTTGGAAACTTCTGAATGATAAATCTTTTGCAGGCTAATGATATGTCTGTGGCTATGGACTACTTTCAACTTCAGGATAGGGGGCTGGTCACCAGGAAGTCCAAACGATGAACAGAGACTTGGCATGGGGGCGGGGAAAGGAGATGTGAGGGAGAGGCTAGAGATCGACTTAATCACCAATAGCCGATGATTTAATCAGTCATGTCCATGTAATGAAAACTCCATAAAAACTAACTGATAGGGTTCAGAGATCTTCCAGGTTGGTGAATGTATACATATTTTTAGAGGGGGATGCATTCCAGTGCCATGAAGACAGACAGCTATACCTTTCCAGACCTTACCCTAGATATATGCATACCTTGGATATGTTGCAGGTTTGGATCCAGACCACCACAACAAAGCAAATCTCGCAACAAAGTGAATCACATGAAATTCTGATTTTCCAGGACATATAAAATTATTTGTAAATTATACTGTAGCCTCTTACCTGTGCAATAGCATTATGTCTAAAACAATATACATGCCTTAATTAAACATACTTTATTGCTAAAAGATGCTAACTATCATCCCAGACTTCAGTGAATCATAATCTTTTTGCTGGTGGAGGGTTTTGAAATACTGCAAGAATTACCAATTTGTGACAACAGAGACACGAAGTGAACAAAAGATGATGGAAAAATGGTGCTGGTAGACTGGCCTCACTCAAGGTTGCCACAAGCCTTCTATTTGTACAAAGTGCAGTATCTGTGAAGAGCAATAAAGTGAGGTGCAAATAAGAAGTGTGCCTGTGCTTCCTCTTGGTGATCACCTGCATCCTTGTATATCCTTTATAAAACCAGTTCATGTGAGTAAAGTGTGTTTCTGAGTTCTGTGATCCACTCCAGCAAATGATCAAATCTGAGAACCTCTGCTTTATACCAGGTTGGTCAGGAATGCAGGAGTTCTGGGACTCGTGATTGGCATCTGAGGTAGGGGTAGTCTAGTGGGACAGGGCCCTTAATCTATAGGGTCTGCATCAACTCCAATTTGTTACTGTCAGAAATGAATTAAATTGTAGGATGACCAGTTTGTATCTGGAGAGTTGGAGGACTGTTTGATATGAGAAAAAATTTCATACCTTTGGTGTCAGAAGTGTGGGTAAAAAAATAGCATTATGTATATTATATCTGAATTAAATTTGTAAGTATATAAATTTATACCAATAACTGTTAAAGATATTCTAAAAAGAAAACTATAGACTCACATAATATAAATCCAAAAATCCCAGTAGAACACTAGCACAGCATCCTAGGTAAGTATCAAAAGAATATACAATAATAAGTGTGAAATACTAGAAAATTAATAGAATTTAAAACAAAAGATCGCATCAGTGGTTGCTGAAAAGATATTTTAGTATTTACTAACTAAACATTTATATAACATTTAGTATATGGATGGCATACAAAGGCTTTACAACGGTTAGGTAATTTAATGCACATGATAACCTTGCATGTTACCTACTATTATTATCCATATTTTCCATATGAAAAAATTGAAGCAAAGAAAGGTTGAGTAATTTGTTCACTGTTACACAGATAAATTGTGGTCATGGGTTTCAAACCAAGGCATTCTGGTTCCAGGGTCTGTACTCTTGGTCATTATGGTATTCTTTTCAAAAAGTTAAGTATCAATTCCTAATAAAAATCTCAGTCAGGAGTCAGCAAACAGTGGTCCATGGGCCATATCTGCCTGCCTTCTGTTTTTGTAAGTGAAGTTTAATGGTGCACAAACGTGACCATTCATTAATGTACTGCTTGTGACTCCCTTTATGCCACAATGGTATAATTGAGGTGTTGTGACAATGAACATGTGGCCCAGAACGTCTTAAATATTCTCTGTCTGGTCCTGCACAAAAATTTTTTTTGCTCATTCCTGCTTTAAGTAAATAGGAAGAGAAAAAAATGTTATGAAAACAAGAGTAATATCTTCCTAAAGTGTGAAATATTTGGTACTATTTCAACTGAAATCATCAGCTTGGTAGATACTCCCACAGTTGTCATCATCATCATTACTAATTCTGATCTGTAGTTAGGCTGGAAGAAAAAATGAGCCAGCGGGTTTAGAAACACTAGAAAAGCTACCAGAATCTCATTTGCACTGTGATTTTATAGCTAGAAAAACTAATAATGCAAAAACACCTAAATTTAACATTATAATAGTCATATGACTGGATACAAAGTAAAGAAAAATAGCTTTTTGTACTATTTAGAATAAGCACCTCAAAATATAAATATTCGTTCTTAGTAGTGATAAATGGCTACACATTACTTAGGAATAAGCTTAACAAAAAAGTCAGAGGTTCTATATGAAGAAACCTATGTGGTCTTATGAAGAATACAAAATAAGATATGAATTTGAAGACATAACACTTCTGAGATGGGCTAGGTTTAGCATTGCATGTATGCTGATTTTTAAAAATGATGAGCATGTTTCACGCAGTACTGATTAGATTCTAACTTCTGAAAAACTGAATGAAATTATCTTACTGTTCATATGAAAGGAAAATTAGATAAGAGCAAGCAAATATGATAAGAAGAATAACGAGTGATCATTTTGCTATAGGTAGACAGAGGACATACATTAAGGCATCATAAGCATATCATAAGGCACTGCTGTGAACACAGTTAGGTCACTGCAACAGAGCATGGAATCTAGAAATTAATTCCATTACTTGTGGGAATTTCATGTATGGTGAGGATGGTATTTCAATTTAGCCAAGAATATTTACTTAATAAATTCTGATGGCACAACTGTTTAGTTATCTGAAATAAAACAAAGTTTGCTCCTATCCTGTACTAATAAAACTGCTGATGAGTTAAAGATTTAAATATAAAATTACAAAAAGATTAGATAAAATATAAGGTTTGCTGTGTACCTTCATAATTAAGACAAGAGAACCAGAAGCTATGAAAATAGACATATTTGGCCATATACGATTTAAAATTTGTGTATGGCAAAAATATATTTTAAAAAAGTATGAAAACAAAGGGTAGGTTTGTGGGAAATATTTGCAAATCAGAGGACAGATGCAGAATTAGTATCTCCAGTACACAAATTATTTTTATAAATTGACAATAAAAAGTAAACAGCCCAATAGGTAAATGGATATTAATGCATAATGCAAAAAGAGCAAATACAAGTAGCCAGTGAAGGTAGAGTAAAATGTTCAAAAGCATTAATTGTAGGAAATTATATATTAGAGATAAATTTCTCCCTTGTCACTTGCTGATCTTAGATTTCCATTTTTAGTTTGAAGTTTGCTGTTTATCTAAGCTGTACCTGGGTATCATTTCTTTTTCTTTTCCAGAACTCCTTGCAATTTCTGAGTCTGAGCATTCGTAGCATCAGGTCTGAAAGAATTTTAGTAATTTATCTCTTTGAATATCTTTTCAGCACATTCTCTGTCTTTTTCTTCTCTGTATCTTCTCTTTGGCATATGTACAAGCAGTTGTTTTTTCCCCCTAGCCTTCTATGTCCCTTCAATTTTATTTTTGTCACTTCAAATTTATGTCTTTTTCCCACCTCCTCTTTTAAATCAGGCACTGCTCCTTATTTCTGGAGATTCTTCTGATTTGTTTTCAAATCCTTTTTCTTATTCTTGTGACTTTTGCTTCTTGGTCTCTTTAGTGTTTATTTAGGTATTTCTTATATGATTGATTGCAGACTGTTCTATTGTATGCCGTTTATTCTTGGTGGAGTACTTGCTAGAGCATTATATAATTTTTGAATCTGCTCATGTGAAGATAGGCTTTTCCAGTAGGAATAGAGGGTACCCTCAGTGATAATCTTCTAC